TTCTGGAAGGCAGTAATCTTTGAACTGTGTGGATACAGATCTTTTTGGTCACTTTATACACTGATCAAATAAGAATAAAATAGTTCTAGGGCTCAGAATAATCAAATATACCCCAACGTGTATGAATAAATCAAAATAGGTTAACAGAAGCCAGTGTTGTGGTGCAAAAGGTTAAGCTGCTGCTTGCCATGGGAGCATCCATCCAGAATGCCAGTCAGAGTCCTGACTACGATGCTTCCGATTCAACTTTCTGCTAATGCACCTAGGAAGGCAGCTGATAATGGCTTAGGTACCTGGGCCCCTGTCACCCGCATGGGAGACCCTGGGCTCTTGGTTTCAGCCTGGCCAAGCCCTCGTGGTTTTGAGTTTGTAGGGAGTGAAATAGCAGATGGAAGATCTAGCTCTGTCTCTCTCACTCTGCCTTTTTTTTTTTTTTTTTTTTTTTTTTTTTTTTTTTTTTGGCAGGCAGAGTGGACAGTGAGAGGGAGAGATAGAGAAGAAAAAGGTCTTCCTTTTCCATTGGTTCACTCCCCAAATGGCTGCTACGGCCGGCGCACTGTGCCAATCCGAAGCCAGGAGCCAGGCGCCTCTGCTGGTCTCCCATGCTGGTGCAGGGTCCAAGGACCTGGGCCATCCTTCACTGCACTCCCGGACCACAGCAGAGAGCTGGACCGGAAGAGGAGCAACCGGGACAGAATCCGGCACCCCGACCGGGCTAGAACCCGGTGTGCCGGTGCCGCAGGCGAAGGATTAGCCTATTGAGCCGCGGCACCGGCCATCACTCTGCCTTTCAAACAAATAAATAAAAATATATTTTTTAAAAGTTCTGCAACTTGTTACTAGGCATCACAGTAAAAATATTCATTTGCATTGATATTTATGTGACTAAAGCAGATTAAACTATTATCTTCTCCCAAGAATATCTACCTTTCATAGTGATTCAGGAGCTTTGAAGCTAATGTACTGCCTGCATCTTTGACCCTCACCTCCTACAAGATGAGGTTAACCCACCAATTGGTCTTAACTGGCTATCTTGTAGCCCAGTGTCTCCATACACATCCAGCCCCAACTTGTCTTTAAATCCCCTGGACTCTGCATTGCCCTATTCAATGATCTTTTACCACCCAGAAGGTTTCCCTGTATTCTAATACAAGACTTGTTGAGGCCTATTTCAATGGACTGCATTTTCTATAGAGAGGTAATCTCAGCTAGAGAAAAAGTAGAGCTAGAAGGAAAGGCCTTGATTTCTAGGGAAGTTCCATGTAAGACTTGCAGACTTTTGAATTTGTCTCACCAAATGGACCTGTCATTAAATCCAATGAGATTCAGGTAGAAACAGACATTTGCTTCTTCCTCTATTAAATACAGGATTCTACCATGCAGGTTGACTGTATGGCCTTTATGGTGATTAATTTTCAGACCCTTGTGATAAGCCCCGCATTGGCCTTAGCATTTGACAAGTGTTACGTAATCGGTCCTCAAGGCTATTCTTTGAAGTTGGTACCATATCCACTGTGAAGGCCAGGAAATTGAGACCCAGGGAGGTGACTGGTTTGCCCAAGGCCATACAACCAGACAGTGGCAGAAGGCTAGTATTAACATGAATCAATCTGAGTTTGATGCCTATATTTTTTCTATACCAGTGCACAGCCCCACTGCATACCAATAAATTGGAATCTGATGTTTTGTTACACCTCTACAAGAAAGGAAGCTCAGAATCCGCATTAGTTATCTAATATTGCCTAATTAAGTAATGAATAGATCTTTGCCCAGTGATAACATTATGGTACTTCACTTTCCTGTTGGCTTTTGGAGGCACAGAAAGATCAAGGTTGTTTTTTTTTTTTTTTTCCAAGACCACACTGTAAGAGAATTGTGAATTCTTTTTTCTATATTCTAGAAATACTCCAAATTGCAGATGACATTTTGTTTGTTCTGGATTCTGCCAAGAAAGTTGAATCATTAATTTGGGCCAAGAACACCAGGATCAAATACATTAAAAATAAACTTCTGTTTTCTTCTAATATCCTCACATGTAAGACTCCTTGTTTCTTTCCAAACTTCAACAAAAACCTAAGATTCAAAAATGAAATTTAGGAACATCTGACCTTTTGGAGGAAACAGAATTTTATTAGTTATCAACTGCTTCCTAAGAAATTAATACAAAAAAAGAGATTAGTACAAAACTTAGCAGTTCAACACAATAACCGTTTTTAAAAGATTTACTTACTTATTTGAAGGGTAGAGACAGAGACAAAGACAGAGATGGATCTTCTATTAGCTGGTTCTCTCTTCAAATGCTCACAACAGTCAGATCTGGGCCAGGGTGCAGCCAGGAGCCAGGGAGTCCATCCTGATGGCAGGAGCCCAAGCACTTGAACCATCATCACCTGCCTTCCCAGGTGCATTAGCAAGAAGCTGGATTGAAAGCGGAGCAGCTGGAACTCGAACCAGAACCAGTTTGGGATGCTGGCACAACAAGCAATGGTTTAACCTACTCTGTGCTACATTTGCCCTGTATCATTTATTATCTGACATCTTGTGTACATCAGGGATCCATATGCAACCTAGCTGAAAACTTCCAGCTTGGTTCTCTCCCAAGGCTACAACCCTGGTGTCAGCCAGGGCTGCAGTAATTTCAAGACTTAAGTGACAGAGGCTGTTGGCAGAACTGAATTTTTGCAGGCTGATGGATGGAAGTTCCTTGCTGGATGCTGGTCAGAATTGTCCCTCAGTTTTTTGCCATGTGGGCCTCCTTACAGCAACTCAAACACAGCACTGGATTCCTCAAAGTGAGTGAAAGAGAAGACAAAGGGAAGCTACACAGGTTTTTGGTTTTTTTTGTTTGTTTGTTTGTTTTTGTTTTTTTTTTTTTTTTGGAAACTAATCTCAGGAATGATCTCTCTCTTGCTATGTTTTATTCATCAAGACCTAGCCCTTGCTCAAGGAAAAGTGTTTACATAAGGGTGTGAAAACCAGGAAGTGGCCAGTGCCGCAGCCCAATAGGCTAATCCTCCACCTTGCAGCGCCGGCACACCGGGTTCTACTCCCGGTCAGGGCACTGGATTCTGTCCCAGTTGCCCCTCTTCCAGGCCAGCTCTCTGCTATGGCCCAGGAGTGCAGTGGAGGATGGCCCAGGTCTTGGGCCCTGCACCCCATGGGAGACCAGGAGAAGCACCTGACTCCTGCTTTTGGATCAGTGCGGTGCACCGGCCATAGCGCACCGGCAGCGGCAGCCATTGGAGAGTGAACCAACAGCAAAGGAAGATCTTTCTCTCTGCTCTCTCTCTCACTGTCCACTCTGCCTGTCAAAAAAAAAAAAAAAAAAAAAAAAAAAAAAAAAAGAAAAAGAAAGAAAACAGAAGCAGGGAACATTGTGGGGCCACCATTTAGGCTGCCTGACACAGAGATATAAGCAAGAATTTAAGAACAAGGTGGTAATATAGTACCTAGCTCTATCCATTCAGATAGGCTAAAGTCAGCGACACCCTAATATCAATGAGCACACCTGATATCTAGATCTTAAGTTTCTTTTCCTTTTTAAGATTTATTTTATTTTATTTGAAGGGTAGACATTAGTAAAACTTAACTAAAGTCTGGAGTTTAGTGAATACAAGCAGCAATGTACTAAACTTGGCTCCCTAGTTTTGTAAATGTGTCATGGTAATGTAACAAGTTAACATGTATCATGGTAATGTAACATGTTAACATTGGGGGAAACCTGCTAAAGGGTACACAGGATATTTCTATATCTGCAACAGCTTGTAAATCTGAAATTATTCTAAAATTAATTTTATTAAAAGCGAAAAACAAAGTATTCTGCTTGTAATTTTAAAAGTGTGTGATGATGGGAAGATTTTCCCCTAGATGAGTTTCTGGCTCAGCACATTTCAAACTCTTTCTCTTCCACTAGCCATATACTTCTGGCCCCAGGTGACATGAGACCCACCTTTGTGTCACAGCCTTGAGTGAGATGGCACACAGCACAGACAGGAGTTATTTCTAGAATCCCCTCCACTACAAGAGAAGCAGGAATAACTTACTGGGGAGTGGCCCAAGTTTAATTCAGCTCTTTCCCAGATCTCCCAAGTTGCAGATTATTCTGAGGCACTGAGTATTATGGGAAATGTGAAGGAAGGGAACAAAAACTTTCCCTTTGTGGTGGGTGATTTAAGACCCCCTCTTTTTAAATAATAGATCTCACCCAGATCTCCAAGTTGCAGATTATTCTGAGGCACTTAGTATTAAGGGAAATGTGAAGGAAGGGAACAAAAACTTCCCCTTTGTGGTGGGTGATTTAAGACCCCCTCTTTTTAAATAATAGAGAACAACATATAAGGATGTGAATTCATTCGGTATCAGGATTCCTCCTTGGGTCTCAAGACTGGTCTAAGTCAGGAGCGTGGAGCACAGCTTCATTACTTTAGCAGTAAATACAACTAGAAGACTTTCGGAAGAAACAGGTGATGCCGGTTCAAGTCCCTGCTGCTCCACTTCCAATCCAGTTTCCTGCCAGTGGCCAGGGAAGACAGTGGAAGATGGCCCAAGTGCTTGGTCCCCTGCACTCACGCGGGAGACCCAGAAGCAGCTCCTAGTTCCTGACTTCGGATTGGCCCAGCTCTGGCTTGCAGCCATTTGGGGAGTGAACCAGAAGACCTAAGACCTCTCTTACTCTGTCTCTAAACTAAGTAAAATATCTTAAACACACACACACACACAAAACAAAACAGGTGATGTTGTTAGAAATGTCACTGTCAGTTGGCCCTATCCCTTTGGCTCAGATACTGTTGCTATTCCGTGAAGCTTCTCACCAAGCTCTCATTCCTCTCAAGGTGTTCCCTGATCCACCCCACATGTTCAGGCATGTCTCCTGGGCTCCTGTCACCGTGGCTTCCTACTATGCCTTAGGATCACATATGTCACGTCTGTGTTTCACCTCCCTGTTATCCTGTCCTGTAAAGTCAATGAAGGGTGTGGCTCAAGGCTTTTCTTAATCTTTGTAATGTCACAGTGGCCTTCACCAAGTCCTTGTTGAGTAAATGAATGATTACTGAAGGAGGGGAGGAAGAAACTTGGGCTACCCAGGGCACGAACACCCAGTTCTTAGGGCTTGTGGAGGGACCTCTGTGATCAGCTGCAATGGGCGGGTAAGAGACAGCCAATCAACGAACTCTTCAAAGACCAACACAGAACTAGTTAGAGGTGGTCTCACCCTACATACGAAACTTTTATGAATATGAATCATGCCTACACACATTATCATGCTGAACAGAGTTCATGCTAAGTGTTATGATTGTATTTTCATGACAATCATTTGAAATACAGACCTTCAACTTTTAAAAACCTTGTTCACCAATGAATCAGACTGAACAGACGCTGGGACCAAAGATAGTAAAGCAGTATCTTTATCCACCACGTACTTTGGACAACCCCAAGCCCCCACTCCTCCCTAACACAGACACACCCCGGATGTGAGGTCCGCCCAGACAGAAGATCTGCCGGGTGAACCCAAGTCCCTATAGCGTGGTATGAAATGGACTTAACATATGTTAGGTTAACGAGGGCTTAAAACGTATGTCTTCTTTCAAGGTAATACACACTTGCGGCTACATTCAGAATGAGGGTCTCCCTATAGACCCAGAGCATGAAGTTTACCAACAAAAGCCCTCTCCAGGAGCCAGCAGTGAAGGCACAAAGCGAGGGCCACGCGAAAGCACACGCCCCTCGCCGAACCCTGCGCGTGCGCACACCGACCGAGAAGGCGGCCGGCGGCATTTGGGGCGGTCTCCTTGCCTTCCGTCGGCGTTTCCCTACACCCGCCTCCGAGTCGGAGGAAATAGAGGATTGGTTAGCCTGGCCCTGGCTCGGGGCGGGGATTGGCTGATTGGCAGCAACGCCCCGGGACAACCAATCTGGAGGCCTGAGTAGCTGGAGAAGGTGCTGGGTGCCGCGCGGCCGAGGTACGTGGGGCTGGGGACTCGGAAAAGCGGTTGGGGAGAGGGTGAAGGAGGCAGTCCCCGGGCAGGCGGCGGTGGGACGCTGTGTTAGTAGTCGGGGCGGGAATGGAGGGAGTCCGGTTTGGGAATGCGGGGAGACCGGCGGGCTCCGTGGGCCGATTGGGTGTCTGCACCGCGGCCCGCCGATCGGAGGCGGAGATGTCCTCCGGCTGCCGGGTGGCTGAAGGGCCTCGTGGGTCCGGAGCTCTGAGGGAGCGGAGAGGAGGCTCCGACCTGTCCCGAAGCTGGGACTCGCCACCTGCGGGTCTACCCCGTATCCCCGGTGCCCTCCCCCGCGCTCTGCAGAGTCCGTCGTTTGCGCGCCGGCCGGCAGGCGGCGGCCCGGTGGGCTGTGGCGCCCTTTCCCGGGCCTCGGGAGCCGGTCCCGGGGATTCCGGGAGGAGGAGCGCGCTCCCGGGTCCGCTTAGGAGGCTTGACCTGCTTCACCTGGCTGCGTTGCTGTGTCGCTTTCCGCCTCCCAGAACTTTGTAACGCATCTTCCTGACCGTGACCAGGGTTTTGCTTGAAGCCCCAGACAAGTCGGCCTTTGGGCATTAAAAACCAGTTTTCCTAAGACAGTCTTTGAGTGTAGAGAAGTTGAGCGAATAAACTCCAGCGTCAACTCTGTTCCCTTGGTTATTTTGAAGTAAGTCGCAGACATCCCGTTTAATCTCTTTTTAACATATTTCTATGGTGCTGTCTAATCACTTGCTTTTTAGAGGAATTGAGTACATTAAGGCGCACGTTAAAGAGCGTACTACAAGGTTGACTGCCCTGTGCTCAGGTTTTAAAAATTTCTGAGATCGAAGGTCGTAAATAACCTAGGGTGTCGTGTCATGACTTTGGAGCATAAATAATTGTGTTGGTCATTTCTGTTTATGGAGAGCTTAGTATGCATGAGGCCCTGTGAAACTGTTTCCACCTTTTTATTTTACTACAGCCCTCTGAAGGTGTTAGCTCATTTCACAATTGAAGGAAAAATAAATTAGGTCACCCAGTTTGGCTAAGATTACCCTGCTTCTAGGGGTGGGAGATGGAATGAAGGATGCTAATCTTGATCTTTGTCATTGTAAACGTCTTGCTCTTTTCACCATAATCAAGTTTCCACAAGCAGGAGTTAAGACGGAACTGTTGTAGAAAATGATTTCTATTGAGCTACACAACCATATTGGTTTTACAGATGTACTGTACAAAACAGTAAGAAAGAGGTATGTTTCTTTGAAACAGTAAACAAATGCAACTGAATTTTAAGTTATGAGCAACATATATAAATGTAGCTCAATAAATACAGGACTAAACATTTTATTATTTAACACATGGCCAGTTAAAGGGGAAAGAAAAGGCAGGAAGTATATACATCAATGAGTAGGCACTCCTTTAGTGCATCCTGGATATTTAGACTGAATATTTCATCTGTATTCCTCATCTTCCCAATCTTAACACCACTTTTGTGACAGTGTGTTCATCCAAATAATGTGGGTTGAATAAGGAACTAGAAAGATAGTTGAAGGTAGGATAGCCTCAGTTGTGAAGGAAGTTCAATGCTAAGTCCAAGGAGTCTGAATTTAATGAGCAAAGAAGTGACATCTCATAGGTGGGTAGTGACCTGGCACTGTCAAAGATGATTTTACCTGAGCTGTGGAAGGATTAGTGAGTTGACCTGAAGAACATAAAGGAAATAAATGTTGCTATCTGGTGAATTTATGAAAAAAAGGGAAGTAGTGAAGAAAAGAAAGCCTGAATAAAACAGATGGTGTGATAAAATAGATTCTGAAGTGTTGGTGAACTTCATTTTCCAGGGATTTTTCTTAGACAGTCTTACACACTGCCCTTTGAAATGTTAATTATTACTCAGCTGTTCAACTCTTTTTATTATGTACTTGTTGCAGAAATTACATAATTTAGGTAAGTTGCCAAAAATGTAATCCCACCATTTCAATAGCCCCTGATGCTTACCTATATATCCTAGACAAGGGGTTGGCAAATTGTGGTCCAAGGGCCTAAACTGGCCTGAGGCTGTTTTGGTGTGCACTGAGAGAGTGGAGTTTTTACATTTATGTAAAAAACAATACAAAAAAAATGTTTAAAACTATTTCATGATACTTGAAAATGATTTGAAACTAATTTCAGTGTTCACAAACCTAGCTATGCTCATTTATTTACATATTGTCTGTGGCTGCTTTTGCACTGAGCGGGCAAAGATTGAAAATATTTTTGTCAACCCCTCTCCCTCTTCTTGATCTTTTTTTCAATCAACGTCCCTAAACACATTTATTTACAAAAATGAGATTATATGCAGTATTTTGTAATCTGATTTATATATTGAGCATCTTTTTTAAGATTTAAAACTATCTTTTTTAAAAAAAAAATATTTATTTGAAATGTAGAGTTAGAGAGAGGAGAGACAGAGAGATCTTACCACTGGTTCACTTCCCACATGGCCACAAAGCCAGGTCTTGGCTAGGCCAAAGCCAAGAGCCTCATCCACATGGGTGCAGGAGCCTAGGGACTTAAGCCATCCTCCACTGCTTTCCCAGGTGCATTGGCAGGGAGCTGGATTGGAAGTGGAGCTGCCAGGACTCAAATTGATGCCCATATGGGATACTGGTGCTACAAGCCACAGCTTTAACCCATTGAGCTACAGTGCCAGCCCCCTGAATATCTTTTTATTGTCTGATTATTTCAGAGTATGAATGTGGTACCAATTGTATATTTAACCAATCTTTTTGTTAGATTTTTTGGTTTCTTTTCCAGTTTTTAAAAGCTATTCATGATTCTTGAGAGGAGAGGTTTTTCTACAGATTTTATTTTTAATTTTTAGATTTATTTGTTTATTTGGAAGGCATAGTGACAGAGGGACATACACAGCTCTTCCATCTGCTTTTTCACTTCCCAAATGTCTACAAGAGCTAGGGCTTGGCCAAACTGAAGCCAGGAGCCAAGACTCCATCTGGGTCTCCCACATGAGTGCTAGAGAGTCATGTCCTTGAGCCATCATCTGCTATCTCCCAGACACATTAGCAAGAAGCCGAATTCTGAATTGGAAGCAGAGAAAGCTGAAAGTCAAACAGGCATTCTGACACAGGATGTAGGTGTCACAAACAGTGCCTCAACCTGCTGTGCCACAGCACATGCCCTCAAATTTTTGTCAGCTTCTTTCTCTCTCTCTCTCTTTTTTTTTTTTTTTTTAAGATTTATTTATTTGAAAGAGTTAGAGAGATAGAGACAGAGATAAAGGTCCTCCATCCGCTGGTTCACTTCCCAGATGGCTGTAATGGCTAGCTGCACCAATCTGAAGCCAGGAGCCTCTTCCGGTCTCCCACGTGGGTGCAGGGGCCCAAGGACTTGGGCCATCTTCTGCTCTCCCAGGCCATAGCAGAGAGCTGGATAGGAAGTGGAGCAGCCAGGTCTCAAACTGGCGCCTGTATGGGATGCTGGTGCTTCAGGCCAGGGCATTAACCCGTTGTGCCACAGTGCTGGCCCCAGTCAGCTTATTTCTTTAGGAGAAATTTCTAGAGGGGCTGGGACAGTGGTGTAGCCAGTAGAGTCGCTGCCTGTGAATCTAGCATCCTGTATGAGTGTTTCTGATCCAACTTGCTGCTGATGGCCTGGGAAAAGCAGTGGAGAACAGCCCAAGTGTTTGGGCCTCTGCTATCCACAAGAGATACCTGGAAGAGGCTCCTGGCTCCTGGTTTCCGCCTGGCCCAGTGCTGGCCTTCGCAGCCATCTGGGAAGTGAACCAGTGGATGGAAGACCTCTCTACTTCTCTCTCTGTAACTTTGAAATAAATGAAATAAATCTCTTAAAAAAAAATTCGAGAAATGAAACTGCTGTTGTCTACATAATGGAATGCTCACCCAAAACGTTGCATTTTTGCCATGCCTTTACCAATATGGATTGTCTCCTTTTTCATATTTGCCAGTTTTGATGAGGAAAAGTGGTAACAGTTTTTAGTTAATTTTTTTATTTGGTTACTAGTGAGCTCCTTAAACATTTTTTTTTTTTTCAAATGTTTGGTTGCTTTTCCACTTGCAAAATGCCTGTGCAAGTATTTTACCAATTTTTCTGTTGTACTTATCTTTTGCTTGGTTTGCAAGCACTTTATGTTCATTAAGGATGTTAGTCATTTGTTTAGTTGCCATTAGGTGCCTCAATTATCTATTCTCAAAAGCTAGAATGGCTAGTAAAATGAAATATATGTGTCTGCTGGGAGAGCACGCAGGGCTGCTGTTATAAGGACTGGAATATGGTACTTCTGAAACAGTTCCTTCTTTTATAAAACTGAACTTATGTCAATCTGTAAGTTGTCATTTTTAAAAATTTTATTTTCACTTCATTTAGAAGGCTGAGAAAGATACCAATCTTCCATCTGCTGGTTCACTCCCCAAATGCTCATGAATTGTATAAGTATTTGATATCATTTAACAGATCAACTTAACACAGCTGAATTTGACTAGTATCAATTGGTTGTGGTTTAAATGGTTTAAATTAAGTCTTTTAGACTGAAAAAAAAACATATAATGTATTCTTTAATATATCAACATCGAATCGTGTGTCTTAGCTTTAACTCAGTATTTTATCATGAAAATCCTTTCATGCATAGCTGTATCTTTTTGGTTTATTATTTTTTAAAGACTTATTTAGTTGATATCAGAGTTAGAGAGATGCAAAGACAGAGAAATCTTCCATCCATTGGTTCACTCCCCAAATGGCCACAACAGCCAGGGTGGGAACTAGGCCCATCGAGAGCCAGGAGCCAGGAGCTTCCCCCGGGTCTCCCATGTAGATGCAGGGGCCCAAGTACTTGGACTGTCTTTCATTGCTTTCCCAGGCTCTTTAGCAGGGAGCTGAGTTGGAAGCGGAGCAGCAGCAGGGACTCAAACCCAGCACCCATATCTAATGCCGGCGCCAACCCACTATGCAATGGTTTTACCCCCTATGCCACAGCGCCGACCCCCTATTTA